GGGTCCTAATATCCTAATATCTCCATGCCCTACGTCAGCACTCCTAGCACCTGTCTCTCGTCTCCCTCATCCCCAACCCCCGAGCTCTCACAGTCTCACTGCAGAATTAGAAGTTTATCCACGTTTCTCCAAACATCACATTTTGAAATGTTTTTGACACCCTGGGTTGCTCCCACTGCTCTGTATCCTTCCATTTCTCCAAACTCAAATGTTTCTAAATTGATTGTTCTACTGAATGTGCATAGGGTCCTTTGAAGGGGGATGGTTGGGTGGGAGGGTGGGTAGATATCATTTAGACCACCTTTGTGATTCATCTGGGCTACAAATGACAGGAAAACGGAGGAGCGTTTGTCTCTTTCAGAGTGAATACATCAGCTGATGTTGTGATGCTAGCAGCCAGCCATCACATGATGCACCTGAATTGTGTCTCGGGTTCTTGTTTCTTCTCTCTCTCTCGCTCTCTCTTCTCCCTCACTCTCTCTCTCTTCTCCCCCTCTCTCTCTCTTCTCCCGCTCTCTCTCTCTCTCTTCTCCCCCTCTTTCTGTCTTCTCTCCCTCTCCCTCTTCCCCCCCTCTCTCTTCTCCCCCTCTCCCTCTCTCTCTCTCTCTCTTCTCTCGCTCTCTTCTCCCCCTGTCTCTCTTCTCCCTCTCTGTCTTCTCCCCCCTCTCTATTTCCCCCCCCCCCCCCCCCCCCTTATGCGGAGGCGGAGGAGTGCTTGCCAGCCATATGGCTTTGCCACAGGCTCCAGAGCAGATGTGCTTGGCATAGGGCTCCGCAACCCTGTGCTGCACGCCTGTTACCGACTGTAGAGGTCACCCACTGACAAAAGCCCATACTACTACCACTGCACAGGCTGTCATGTTCATGCAGAGTAAAGCACATAGAGCGGCCCACACTCATTAGCTAGCATCGTAACAGGAAGTGTTTTCCCCCTCTAATCAAATCAAATCAATTTTTTATTGGCCACATGCGCCGAATACAACAGTGAAATGCTTACTTACAGCCCTTAACCAACAATGCATTTATTTTTTAAATAAAAAAGTAAAATAAAACAACAACAAAAACGTGTTGAGAAAAAAAGAGCAGAAGTAAAATAAAATAACAGTAGGGAGGCTATATATACGGGGGGGTACTGGTGCAGAGTCAATGTGCGGGGGCACCGGCTAGTTGAGATAGTTGAGGTAATATGTACATGTGGGTAGATTTAAAGTGACTATGCATAAATAATTAACAGAGTAGCAGCAGCGTAAAAAGATGGGGTGGGGGTGGGGGGGGGGGGGGCAGTGCAAATAGTCTGAGTCTTATGGCTTGGCGGTAGAAGCTGTTGAGAAGTCTTTTGGACCTTACTTGGCGCTCCGGTACCGCTTGCCGTGCGGTAGCAGAGAGAACAGTTTATGACTAGGGTGGCTGGAGTCTTTGACAATTTTGAGGGCCTTCCTCTGACACCGCCTGGTATAGAGGTCCTGGATGGCAGGAAGCTTGGCCCCAGTGATGTACTGGGCCGTACGCACTACCCTCTGTAGTGCCTTGCGGTCGGAGGCTGAGCAGTTGCCATACCAGGCGGTGATGCCACCAGTCAGGATGCTCTCGATGGTGCAGCTGTATAATTTTTTGAGGATCTGAGGACCCATGCCAAATCTTTTCAGTCTCCTGAGGGGGAATAGGCTTTGTCGTGCCCTCTTCACGACTGTTTTGGTGTGTTTGGACCATGATAGTTTTTTGGTGATGTGGACACCAAGGAACTTGAAGCTATCAACCTGTTCCACTACAGCCCCGTCGATGAGAATGGAGGCGTGCTCAGTCCTCTTTTTTTCCCTGTAGTCCACAATCATCTCCTTTGTCTTGGTCACGTTGAGGGAGAGGTTGTTATCCTGGGTCTCTGACCTTCTCCCTATAGGCTGTCTCATCGTTGTCAGTGATCAGGCCTACCACTGTTGTGTCGTTAGCAAACTTAATGATGGTGTTGGAATCATGCCTGGCCATGCAGTCATGGGTGAACAAGGAGTACAGGAGGGGACTGAGCACGCACCCCTGAGGGGCCCCCGTGTTGAGGATCAGTGTGGCAGATGTGTTGTTACCTACCCTTACCACCTGGGGGCGGCCCGTCAGGAAGTCCAGGATCCAGTTGCAGAGGGAGGTGTTTAGTCCCAGCATCCTTAGCTTAGTAATGAGCTTTGAGGGCACTATGGTGTTGAATGCTGAGCTGTAGTCAATGAATAGCATTCTCACGTAGGTGTTCCTCTTGTCCAGGTGGGAAAGGGCAGTGTGGAGTGCAATAGAGATGCATCATCTGTGGATCTGTTGGGGCGGTATGCAAATTGGAGTGGGTCTAGGGTTTCTGGGATAATGGTGTTGATGTAATAGAAGGCTATACACTAAACATAAAAGACAGTGAGATGCAGGAAATTCACAAATGTGCCGTTGAATGAGTGGTTTATGATGTTCCCGGAAAATGAAAGTCCAGTTTCTGTGTGGTGCTCTATGGGGGCTCCAGACAAAGTTTTCTCATTCAGTTTGGGTTGTAGGCTAACAGGCTAACCCATTGCTGGTGGGTATGTTTTAAAAAAACCATCCAAAGAAAGTGTCGGTAGTTTCCATTTACTAAGAGAAACAACCCGTTGGTGCAGTGAGAGAGATAGCCGAGTCAACTTATTTGTGTTGATTTTCATTCCTACTTTTTGCTGTATACTGGAGGAGAAGGAATGCAAATTTTGACCAGTGTGCGAAATGAGAAGGTTTCCCTGAGCTGTTTGCTGAGGCAGCATTTGGCCTGCAGACCCCCAGAGCAGTTAAGGTTCTTAAAACCTTAAAACCTCCTCATAGTCAGTGGTGTAAAGTACTTAAGTAAAAATACTTTAAAGTACTACATAAGTAGTTTTTTGGTGTATCTGTACTTAACTTTATTATTTATATTTTTGACAACTTTTACTTTTACTCCACTACATTCCTAAATAAAATAATTTACTTTCTACTCCTTACGTTTTCCCTGACACCCAAAAGTACTAGTTACATTTTGAATGCTTAGCAGGACAGGAAAATGGTCTAATTCACGCACTTATCAAGAGAACATCTCTGGTCATCCCTACTGCCTCTGATCTGGCAGACTCACTAAACACAAATGCTTTGTTTGTAAATGATGTCTGAGTGTTGAAGTGTGCCCCTGGCTATCCGTAAATTTAAAAAATTGGAATATCGTGCAGTCTGGTTTGCTTAATATAAGGAATTTGAAATAATTTAGCAATTACATTTACTTTTGATACTTAAGTTAATTTAAAACCAAATACTTTTAGACTTTTACTCAAGTAGTATTTTACTGGGTTACTTTTACTTGAGTCATTTTCTTTTAAGGTATCTTTACTTTTACTCAAGTATGACAATTGGGTACTTTTTCCACCACTGCTCATAGTCAACACTTAGACATGCAGAATATCAAAGAGAACGCCAGGCCTCAATCTAACATCACTTGCTGTACATACACTATGCACTTCCATCAAGTAGCGATCTTATACATTGCCCATAATATATACTATATATACAGTATAATATACACTGCCGATTGGTCTACCAACCAAGGAAACGCTTATTATTCACATAACTGTGGTATCGTTTCCTTCCTCTCTGCTGTAGTGCGTTCAGAATTAGGCAAATCAACCTGGAACCTTGATGCTTAATTTAGTTCTTCATTTTGGGATTTCATAAGAACTACTGTTCATCCTATATACTATTTTAGGGAGTTTATTTTTGACAAGATTTTATCAGAACTAGACCGGATCACGTCCATTGTCTGATGCTAGAATACTAGCATAGCACAATCTAAATGAGATTATTAAAATAGCTTTACAAGAAATCAATAACATTGCATTGCATGGCTATTTATCATCAGGATTTCTGTATTCAGTGGGACCAGTTGTCCATAGGGTCTCATGGCCTTTGCCCTCTGTACATTTGACCTGCTGTGGACAAAGGTCACAGGGGTCGTGTGTGTGGCTTTGCCTGTCAACTCTCAGAGGACTAGATGGCAGTCAGATGGAGACGCAATCAGCCTGCTTTCCCTGCTACCTTCCTTGTAATGACCACTGATCTGACTTAATTGAACGAGGTTACTACAATACCAAATTACTTTAACCAGTTCAGTCAAGTCAGATGAGTGGTTATTACCTCAATTAACAAATAAAGAGAGAAGGCATTGTAATAGTACTTTCTGGGGTTGAATAATGATGACCGTTGGGGTTAAATGGTAATGGCCATTGTCAGATCCTTTGGTTGGTGGCATTGCCCTTGTCTGACCAACAGTCCCTGTGCACTTTTCTGTCCTCTGACTCTCTTCTGATTGACACTCTCTTCTGATCTTGTCCTGTAAAGTATGCACTCAGCCTCTTTTCCACTCTCTCTGTCAATTTCTCTGTCACTCAGTCAATTTCTCTGTCACTCAGTCAATTTCTCTTTCTCTGTAATTCTTCGGGACAGGCACTTTCTCCCACACTTCTCCCCTCTGTCCCACTTTTGACATCCAGTGCATTTAGAGGCTCTGTCAAATGGGGTTGTTAGACAGAGCCTCTAAATGCACTGGATGCCTGGGGAACAGATTGCTACTTCTCCTGACTTATACAGTAGTTTCCTCTTGTCTTACTCATATATTTTATGTCATTGTTTCAGGCGTACAGTAACTAGATCACTAGTAGTTTACCTGTCATGGAAGTGAAAGGAAACTTAATCATGCATGCTAGGCTATGATTAGTCAGTGAATGTGCTGTTACAATGCATAGAATAAGTAGGAGTTGAGATTTAGTTCATCGTAGAGTTAAAGTAAGACGCTGATAAATACTGTTGGCCCTGACGACTTGAGCACTACTGACCAACTCACCTACAGACAGACATACAGACAGACAGACAGACAGTGCTGTGAGGCTGTGCCAGCCCAAGCAGAGCTCTTTATCGGCAGGCAGTGAGAGGGAGAACTGAGATGTCTTTTACAGGAGAGGCTATTCTCTGCAGGCAGTATGGAGGCCAGCCAGAAAGGGAGGGAGGGTTTACCTGCAGCCAGATCAGGCAGCAAGAAAGGAGGTCATTCCTGGAATAGCCCCTTATCTGCAGGCGGTGTGAGGGCATGCCAGGCTGAGAGGCGAGAAGAAGCGGCTTACCTGTCCGGTCCTGCAGACAGAGGGGAGGCCCTATTAGTACCCAATGGCAGCAGCCCCAGTCCTGGAGTGGTTGGCTTGGCAGAGATACTGTCTGTCTGTCTCTGTAGCAATACAAAGAACGGGGAAGTCCCTATACCGACCAGCCATTGGAGGAGGAGACGGAGCTACTTTAGTCACGTCACAGATGATATGAAAGCCGTGCTGACCACTGCTAGCTGGTAGGATAATGCTGTGCCTGTTCAAGCATGGCCTCTAGAGACCCAGGAGCACAAGACAACAACACGTTTGTTTTTCTGTTGTTGGGTTGCCTCACTATTCTGATACAGTGGTTGTATGTAGGCCTATTAGTTATATGTTGTATGTATTAGTTGTATTACAGTATGTATTAATCTACCCTGGTTGTCTTCTGCAGGTGAAGCTGAAGCTTGGTGACGAATGTGGTGGTCCTATAGTGTTAAAACCTGTACCCTGTACTACTGCACAAAGGCAACGTAGTCAAGGCAATAATGCTCATGCACACAGACAATTTGTGGCTGTGCTCTGCCCAAACTGCGCTCCCTGTGTCAACAGTGGTGCTAAGTAGCACTAGCCTACTGCTGTGTGTGTAAAGCCGCAGACACTCTCTGGCCAGGATGCATGTGCGGGACACCGAGCCACCTGTCTGCAGCTTTAGCCGTCTTCTTTACCAGCACTAGCTAGCTGGGGTTTATCCGGCCATGAGGGCCCCTGGCCTACTTTAACGTTCCTCTCACTCACTGTCGCTGGTCACTCACTGTCGCTGGTCACTCACTGTCGCTGGTCACTCACTGTCCCTCGCTGCAAGGCCCTTATGTTCACAGTCACACCGGACTGGAGTGCTGAGAAAGACCAGGACAGAGTGGATGGCTGGATGCAGTCCCCTGAGAGCGAGACAGTTTAGAGAGCTCTGTCTCGTTCCACCCAGGCCTGTATTTACACATAAACATTATCTCTCACAAAAGCCCCTCTTTTCACTGATTGTCAATAATATCAGTGAAAGGGGACATCATGGTAGAGTCCTGCACTAGAAGGCTATGTTTAACTGCAGTGATGCTTCAGTGCCATCCTGTGCATGGCTACTAGCACTTTCTCATCAACCATCACTCCCTGTTCTCTGTGACCTGTGTGGAGACTGGGGAAGATAGCCTTCTCAGTCCTGTGAAGGCTAGCACGGTGGTGTGTATTAGTGTGTGGGCTACTGTGGGGCAGCTACTTTCAGTGTAGGAGGAGTGAAGTGTCTATGTTAGGGACTGGTTGGTCAGTTGGTGATACTGCTGAGTAGTCGGAGTAGTAGTAGTAGTACTACAGTGTAAGGTGAGGTAATGTGGGGCAGTGGCAGTGTTTACAGTAGCATTGTAGGGCAGTATTAGCCTAAGTTATGTTGAGCTGGCTGCTTCAGCATGGAGCAGGCTAGGGCAGGCAGTGTGTGGGCTGGTGAGGGGGATGGCTGTGGCTGGGGGGGGGTCACGCGAGCTGGGGCCGGGCGGGGGAGGGAGGAGAGGGTTTAAGGTTCTTTCATTAGGCTGGGCGCAGCGAGAAGAGGGGGCCAGCTGGATTAGGCCTGGACAGTCATGTGAAAAGTTCGGCAGAGAGCTGACATCATCCAGTGACCAGCTGAATTCCCCAGCCAATCAGCATTGACGTTGTTCAGGGCAGACTGAAGGCACTAGGCTAGGCTAAGCCCCGTTGTTTTGCTCCTGCCGAGGTTGTGTGCAGAAGCTATGGGGACACCTTGTTAAAATATGAATTGGTCTCTTTAATGTAGTCCCTCAGGTGGCTTCAGAGTGAGCGACTTGAGTCTCATCCCCACACTGTTCTAGTCTACATATCATGCAAGCAGCAGCATGTTCCTCAGAAACAGCTTCTAGAACACTGTTTATAGTTTTTTTTGTTCATGTCAAACATTTATGCCACTATACTGTGGAGTTCAATGAGGAATTCTATGATGAGGAATTCACAGGTTTCAGAGACAAGATGGGTAGTCATAGTCCATTCATGGAGAAGTTCCTTGATATAGAGGACATCTTAAAGGTTAGCCAGAAAAGGGCCAGTCGAAAAAGTGAGTTTGAAAGACGTCAGCTAAAGCAGAGACAAAGCAAACATTGTTGCTTGTTAGAGGAGTGTCATTTCAGAGAACTCTTGTTTTTTCCCCCCTCTCTGCGACGCTTTGAGCGGAGTCATTTGTAAGGTGCCAAGAAGCAGCTGGGCCCAGCTACCACCTGAGTTTCACACGGTAGGGCCTCGCAGGGCCCTCACAGATCACAGGCCCTCTCTGTGAAAGCACCGCGCTGTGAAGCCCCTGGGCCCCAACAAAGGTTCTGTGTGTGTGTGGCGCCATGTTTCTGCCTCATACTGACTTTTTTTGTCTTTGGGAATGCTTTGGTCTGGTTCCTGTCATTCTGTTGCTGTCCAGAGGTTCAACAATCATGGCAAGGCCACTGGGAGTGAATATGAATTCGGAATGGTGTATATGTGAGAAGATATTGGGGAAGCAGGGATGTACCCTACACAAGCAACGTGGTGCCATTAACATCAACTTATACATAGCTTTCCTTCCTTTCAGGAGCATTAGAATAGCACTCATTTTTGCGATGTTGGTAAAGAAATCCCAAAAGGGACTATGTTTCATAGATAAATGTGACGAGGTGTGAAGGAAGGAGTCAGGCGCAGGAGGTAAAATACCGAAGTCCAGAGTTTATTCCTTTTACATAAATCAAACGCCCAAAGCGTCAAACGAAACTATTACAAGGGAAGACATCCACCTTGGCATAAACACAGTGAATAGTAGCTCAACCGCGCTACACGCTCTCATAACAAACAATCACTCACAAAGACAAGGGGAACGGAGGGAATACTTATACACATACTAATTAGGGGAATGACCACCAGGTGTGTGTGATTGACAAGACATAACAAGTGGAGTGATGAGAATGGGATCGGCAGTAGCTAGGACTCCGGTGACGACGAACGCCGAAGCCTGCCCGAACCAGGGGGGGGGGGCAGCCTCAACGGAAGTCGTGACAATGAATAAAAAAGGGACTACGTTTCTGTAGTGACCCAGCTGAGTGATTAGGTCAGATCTTTCCTCCATCCTGGAGTGCAGAGTGTTTGTTTTCGCCTCAGGCCACCCAGTAATGTTACAGCAGCAGTGTACGCCAGCCAGCCCAGCAGCAGTAGATCAGAGCATCAGGGCATCTGTTTGAAACAGAATTGAAAGTAGTGACATGAATAAAATAATCCATGAATAAAAGCACGGGCCTGTGATGCAAATAAGCCGGCTGGGAGAGAGGAATTTCGAGTGTGGCTGGCATGGAGAGCTGTACAGAGAGCGAGAGAGAGAGAAAATGACATGTTTTCAGTTCAATCCCCATGCTCATTTGTAGCATGGCAGGCTTCCTATGGGCATTAAGGGCACTGGTGCACAATAGAAGACTGTTGTCGTGTCTTAAACAACTCTGATCCGATGACTCCTTGTGGATCTTGCAATCTTAGGAGGAGATTCTCACATCATTTAACCACTGTGTGTGTAAGAGAGAGAGAGACAGATCTCCTCTCAGTGGTATGGTTCCCATGCATTAATAAACAGGAATTTTTAACACTAGGCTCCTGGATGAAAAGCGAAAGCTGTTTTAAGCGAGCTGCCCGCTGCAGGCTCTTTTTGGACTGCCTAAGGTGACTTTTTCCATTAGAGTTCCCTAGGAACACAAACACAGCCTCACTCCCACTGTCAGTGAATGGACATATATACAGTACAGTACAGTCGGCCTCCAGATAGGAGGTATAGTGCATAGTAAAGCCCAGTTAACGATAGTAGTAGTGTACTCCACATCCTTCCAGGCTGGCTCCGGGGCTTCAGCGGTGGAATGGAAGACAGGATGTCTATTAAAAAGTCATGGGACGAATGTGGTAAACAAAATGGGTGTGACATTTAGCTCATTAGCATTACACACTGTCCTACACAAGCCGAGAGAGGGGGAACACATCGATGTACAGTACATAGCACTCAAGCGTGAGTGGTTCAACTTCAAACTACAAGACTAGGGTTGAGCAATTCAACATGTACACCAATGCTTTTTCATAAAAGGACGGTTCCCTTACTCTTTCTGTGGACAGTTTATTTATGCATAAGCATTTCTTTCTGAGCCTTTCAGAGATTCCCCACTGGGCACAGACATCACTTCAACGTCTAGTTTTGGTTGAGTTGTCAACTAATGTGAATTCAACGTGAAATCAACAAAAAATATCACCACGTCAGTGGATTTAGGTTAAAAGTTAGATGAAAAATTAACGAAATTCTCTTACGTTGATGACTTTGCAAATCCAATTAGTTTCCCACATTGATTCAACGTCATCACATATAATTATTTTGTTGACATTACATTTTTGCACAGTAGGTCAGGTGCAGCTCTGTCTCTAAAACATGTAAAGTAGTCAACTGATTATTCATGTAGTTTTTGGAACAAACATTCACATACATTTTTCACATTCTGGTGACCTTATGAGAGCTTAATAAAAAAATGTCAGGTGGTACTGTACATTTCTCCCTGAGGCCTCTTATATAAGGATGGCGGGGGAATGGATGTGGAGGTGGGTTCTGGCTGGTATGCTGGGGCTGTTTTGACTCCTCATCAGCCCATTACATTTTAAGAAACATCACTAAGTACTTTTAGTAGTCCATTATCCACCATTAAGTACTCACAAGTTTGGGTATACCGTTTAACAGTCCTGGATATAACCATTTTCACTTTTCCACAAAGAGGTTAAGCACAGCAACACTATCAGGCATGCCAGCCGATCACTTCGCCTTCCTTTGGCAACTCAAATATCACTCAATTTCCCCAATGCTTTGTGTGTCCCCAAGGGATGGCCAGGCCATGTGCATACATCTCTCCAGGCAGTAAGATTTGAGTGTGGTGACTTCTGTAGTCATGAGGGCTTAGGGTCTTGAGCACTTGTCCCCATAATCCAGTGTTTTGAAAATGAGACTCCAGCTGTTCGGGGCAGAAAGCTGCAGCCTTGGAGGAGTTTGGGGAGATGAGCGCTTGTGCCTTCCATTTTGCCTCGAGGTCCTTTTTCTTCTTGGGTAACTGGCTTCTTTTCTTTGCACTGCTTTATCTACGATATAGAATACAGTTATTATAGGGCTTAGAAAGTATTAAAAAGGTATTTACAGTACCAGTCAAAAGTTTGGACACACCTACTCGTTCAAGGGTTTTTCTTTATTTTTACTATTTTCTACATTGTAAAATGATAGTAAAGACATCAAATCTATGAAATAACACATGGAATCATGTAGTAACCAAGAAAGTGTTAAACAAATCAAAATATATTTGATATTTGATATTCTTCAAAGTAACCACCCTTGATGACAGCTTTGCACACTCTTGGCATTCTCTCAACGAGCTTCATGAGGTAATCACCTGGAATGCATTTCAATTAACAGGTGTGCCTTTTTAAAAGTCAATTTGTGGACTTTTAAAGAACTTTGAACGTTTCTTCAAGTGCAGTCGCAAAAACCATCAAGCGCTATGATGAAACTGGATCTCATGAGGACCGCCACAGGAAAGGAAGACCCAGAGTTACATTTGCTGCAGAGGATAAGTTCATTAGAGTTAACTGCACCTCGGACTGCAGCCCAAATAAATGCTTCACAGAGTTCAAGTAACAGACACATCTCAACATCAACTGTTCAGAGGAGACTGCGTGAATCAGGCCTTCATGGTCGAATTACTACAAAGAAACCACTACTAAAGGACACCAATAAAAAGAAGAGATTTAGACCGGTGGAAATCTGTCCTTTGGTCTGATGGCCAAATTGGAGATTTTGGGTTCCAAACGCTGTGTCTTTGTGAGACGCAGAGTAGGTGAACGGATGATCTCCGCATATGTGGTTCCCACCGTGAAGCATGGTGGAGGAGGTGTGATGGTGTGGGGGTGCTTTGCTGGTGACACTGTCAGTGATTTATTTAGAATTCAAGACACACTTAACCAGCATGGCTACCACAGCATTCTGCAGCGATACGCCATCCCATCTGGTTTGCGCTTAGTGGGACTATCATTTGTTTTTCAACAGTACAATGACCCAACACACCTCCAGGCTGTGTAATGGCTATTTGACCAAGAAGGAGAGTGATGGAGTGCTGCAACAGATGACCTGGCCTCCACAATCACCCGACCTCAACCCAATTGAGATGATTTGGGATGAGTTGGACCGCAGAGTGAAGGAAAAGCAGCCAACAAGTGCTCAGCATATGTGGGAACTCCTTCAAGACTGTTGGAAAAGCATTCCAGGTGAAGCTGGTTGAGAGAATGCCAAGAGTGTGCAAAGCTGTCATCAAGGCAAAGGGTGGCTACTTTGAAGAATCTATTAATATATTTTGATTTGTTTAACCATTTTTTGGTTACTACATGATTCCGTATGTGTTATTTCATAGTTTTGATGTCTTCACTATTATTCTACAATGTAGAAAATAGTAAAAAATAAAGAAAAATCCTTGAATGAGTAGGTGTGTCCAAACTTTTGGCTGGTACTGTACATGTCATGTCTTTTGGGTTCAGAACAGACTTGGGTTCAGATATTATTTGAAATCGTTCAAATACTTTGAGCGTTTGATTGTGGCTGCCTGGAGTGCCAGATGGGCAGCGTTGGCACTTTTGGGATAATTTCATTGGCTCCTTTGCGCCAGGCTAGCTCACTAAGTGCAGCTAAAATATTTGACAGAAAACTAATTCTACTAGAATCCAGATTTGGTTGTTTGGGTTCAGAGGTTTTAGTTGTCACCTAAGGCCATACAGTGAGGGAAAAAAGTACAGTGGGGGGAAAAAAGTATTTAGTCAGCCACCAATTGTGCAAGTTCTCCCACTTAAAAAGATGAGAGAGGCCTGTAATTTTCATCATAGGTACACGTCAACTATGACAGACAAATTGACGAAAAAAATCCAGAAAATCACATTATAGGATTTTTAATGAATTTATTTGCAAATTATGGTGGAAAATAAGTATTTGGTCACCTACAAACAAGCAAGATTTCTGGCTCTCACAGACCTGTAACTTCTTCTTTAAGAGGCTCCTCTGTCCTCCACTCGTTACCTGTATTAATGGCACCTGTTTGAACTTGTTATCAGTATAAAAGACACCTGTCCACAACCTCAAACAGTCACACTCCAAACTCCACTATGGCCAAGACCAAAGAGCTGTCAAAGGACACCAGAAACAAAATTGTAGACCTGCACCAGGCTGGGAAGACTGAATCTGCAATAGGTAAGCAGCTTGGTTTGAATAAATCAACTGTGGGAGCAATTATTAGGAAATGGAAGACATACAAGACCACTGATAATCTCCCTCGATCTGGGGCTCCACGCAAGATCTCACCCCGTGGGGTCAAAATGATCACAAGAACGGTGAGCAAAAATCCCAGAACCACACGGGGGGACCTAGTGAATGACGTGCAGAGAGCTGGGACCAAAGTAACAAAGCCTACCATCAGTAACACACTACGCCGCCAGGGACTCAAATCCTGAAGTGCCAGACGTGTCCCCCTGCTTAAGCCAGTACATGTCCAGGCCCGTCTGAAGTTTGCTAGAGTGCATTTGGATGATCCAGAAGAGGATTGGGAGAATGTCATATGGTCAGATGAAACCAAAATAGAACTTTTTGGTAAAAACTCAACTCGTCGTGTTTGGAGGACAAAGAATGCTGAGTTGCATCCAAAGAACACCATACCTACTGTGAAGCATCATGCTTTGGGGCTGTTTTTCTGCAAAGGGACCAGGACGACTGATCCGTGTAAAGGAAAGAATGAATGGGGCCATGTATCGTGAGATTTTGAGTGAAAACCTCCTTCCATCAGCAAGGGCATTGAAGATGAAACGTGGCTGGGTCTTTCAGCATGACAATGATCCCAAACACACCGCCCGGGCAACGAAGGAGTGGCTTCGTAAGAAGCATTTCAAGGTCCTGGAGTGGCCTAGCCAGTCTCCAGATCTCAACCCCATAGAAAATCTTTGGAGGGAGTTGAAAGTCTGTGTTGCCCAGCGACAGCCCCAAAACATCACTGCTCTAGAGGAGATCTGCATGGAGGAATGGGCCAAAATACCAGCAACAGTGTGTGAAAACCTTGTGAAGACTTACAGAAAACGTTTGACCTGTGTCATTGCCAACAAAGGCTATATAACAAAGTATTGAGAAACTTTTGTTATTGACCAAAAACTTATTTTCCACCATCATTTGCAAATAAATTCATAAAAAATCCTACAATGTGATTTCTGGAAAAAAAAATCTCATTTTGTCTGTCATTGTTGACATGTACCTATGATGACAATTACAGGCCTCTCATCTTTTTAAGTGGGAGAACTTGCACAATTGGTGGCTGACTAAATACTTTTTTCCCCCACTGTATTTGATCCCCTGCTGATTTTGTACGTTTGCCCACTTACAAAGAAATGATCAGTCTATAATTTTAATGGTAGGTTTATTTGAACAGTGAGAGACAGAATAACAACAAAAAAATCCAGAAAAACGCTTTTCAAAAATGTTATAAATTGATTTGCATTTTAATGAGAGAAATAAGTATTTGACCCCTCTGCAAAACATTACTTAGTACTTGGTGGCAAAACCCTTGTTGGCAATCACAGAGGTCAGACGTTTCTTGTAGTTGGCCACCAGGTTTGTACACATCTCAGGAGGGATTTTGTCCCACTGGCTAGGCCACTCCAGGACCTTAATGTGCTTCTTCATGAGCCACTCCTTTGTTGCCTTGGCCGTATGTTTTGGGTCATTGTCATGCTGGAATACCCATCCACGACCCATTTTCAATGCCCTGGCTGAGGGAAGGAGGTTCTCACCCAAGATTTGACGGTACATGGCCCCGTCCATCTTCCCTTTGATGCGGTGAAGTTGTCCTGTCCCCTTAGCAGAAAAACACCCCCAAAGCATAATGTTTCCACCTCCATGTTTGACGGTGGGGATGGTGTTCTTGGGGTCATAGGCAGCATTCCTCCTCCTCCAAACACGGCAAGTTGAGTTGATGCCAAAGAGCTCCATTTTGGTCTCATCTGACCACAACACTTTCACCCAGTTCTCCTCTGATCATTCAGATGTTCATTGGCAAACTTCAGACGGGGCTCTATATGTGCTTTCTTGAGCAGGGGGACCTTGCGGGCGCTGCAGGATTTTTAGTTGGTGTTTTTTGGCCCGTCTCTCAGGATTCCCTGGGTTCCCCCGGGTTTGGGATTTTTGCTCACCGTTTGTGATCATTTTACCCACGGGGTGAGATCTTGCATGGAGCCCCAGATCGAGGGGGGATTATCAGTGGTCTTGTATGTCTTCCATTTCCAAATAATTGCTCCCACAGTTGATTTTCTTCAAACCAAGCCTGCTTACCTATTGCAGATTCAGTTTCCACCCTGGTGCATGTCTACAATTTTGTTTCTGGTGTCCTTTGACAGCTCTTTGGTCTTGACCATAGTGGAGTTTGGAGTGTGACTGTTTGAGGTTGTGGACAGGTGTCTTTTATACTGATAACAAGTTCAAAAAGGTGCCATTAATACAGGTAACGAGTGGAGGACAGAGGAGCCTCTTAAAGAAGAAGTTACAGGTCTGTGAGAGCCAGAAATCTTGCTTGTTTGTAGGTGACAAATACTTATTTTCCACCATAATTTGCAAATAAATTCATAAAAATCCTACAATGTGATTTCTGGATTTTTTTTCCCTCAATTTGTCTGTCAGAGTTGACGTGTACCTATGATGAAAATGACAGCCTCTCTCATATTTTTTAAGGGGGAGAACTGCACAATGGTGGTGACTAAATACTTTTTTCCCCACTGTATGGTGGAAAATAAGTATTTGGTCACCTACAAAACAAGCAAGATTTCTGGCTCTCACAGACCTGTAACTTCTTCTTTAAGAGGCTCCTCTGTCCTCCACTCGTTACCTGTATTAATGGCACCTGTTTGAACTTGTTATCAGTATAAAAGACACCTGTCCACAACCTCAAACAGTCACACTCCAAACTCCACTATGGCCAAGACCAAAGAGCTGTCAAAGGACACCAGAAACAAAATTGTAGACCTGCACCAGGCTGGGAAGACTGAATCTGCAATAGGTAAGCAGCTTGGTTTGAATAAATCAACTGTGGGAGCAATTATTAGGAAATGGAAAGACATACAAGACCACTGATAATCTCCCTCGATCTGGGGCTCCACGCAAGATCTCACCCCGTGGGGTCAAAATGATCACAAGAACGGTGAGCAAAAATCCCAGAACCACACGGGGGGACCTAGTGAATGACGTGCAGAGAGCTGGGACCAAAGTAACAAAGCCTACCATCAGTAACACACTACGCCGCCAGGGACTCAAATCCTGCAGTGCAGATGTGTCCCCCTGCTTAAGCCAGTACATGTCCAGGCCCGTCTGAAGTTTGCTAGAGTGCATTTGGATGATCCAGAAGAGGATTGGGAGAATGTCATATGGTCAGATGAAACCAAAATAGAACTTTTTGGTAAAAACTCAACTCGTCGTGTTTGGAGGACAAAGAATGCTGAGTTGCATCCAAAGAACACCATACCTACTGTGAAGCATGGGGGTGGAAACATCATGCTTTGGGGCTGTTTTTCTGCAAAGGGACCACGACGACTGATCCGTGTAAAGGAAAGAATGAATGGGGCCATGTATCGTGAGATTTTGAGTGAAAACCTCCTTCCATCAGCAAGGGCATTGAAGATGAAACGTGGCTGGGTCTTTCAGCATGACAATGATCCCAAACACACCGCCCGGGCAACGAAGGAGTGGCTTCGTAAGAAGCATTTCAAGGTCCTGGAGTGGCCTAGCCAGTCTCCAGATCTCAACCCCATAGAAAATCTTTGGAGGGAGTTGAAAGTCTGTGTTGCCCAGCGACAGCCCCAAAACATCACTGCTCTAGAGGAGATCTGCATGGAGGAATGGGCCAAAATACCAGCAACAGTGTGTGAAAACCTTGTGAAGACTTACAGAAAACGTTTGACCTGGGTCATTGCCAACAAAGGGTATTGAGAAACTTTTGTTATTGACCAAAAACTTATTTTCCACCATAATTTGCAAATAAATTCATAAAAAATCCTACAATGGGATTTTCTGGATTTTTTTTTCTCATTTTGTCTGTCATAGTTGACGTGTACCTATGATGACAATTACAGGCCTCTCATCTTTTTAAGTGGGAGAACTTGCACAATTGGTGGCTGACTAAATACTTTTTTTGATCCCCTGCTGATTTTGTATGTTTGCCCACTTACAAAGAAATGATCAGTCTATAATTTTAATGGTAGGTTTATTTGAACAGTGAGAGACAGAATAACAACAAAAAAATCCAGAAAAACGCATGTCAAAAATGTTATAAATTGATATGCATTTTAATGAGAGAAATAAAGTATTTGACCCCTCTGCAAAACATGACTTAGTACTTGGTGGCAAAACCCTTGTTGGCAATCACAGAGGTCAGACGTTTCTTGTAGTTGGCCACCAGGTTTGTACACATCTCAGGAGGGATTTTGTCCCACTGGCTAGGCCACTCCAGGACCTTAATGTGCTTCTTCATGAGCCACTCCTTTGTTGCCTTGGCCGTATGTTTTGGGTCATTGTCATGCTGGAATACCCATCCACGACCCATTTTCAATGCCCTGGCTGAGGGAAGGAGGTTCTCACCCAAGATTTGACGGTACATGGCCCCGTCCATCTTCCCTTTGATGCGGTGAAGTTGTCCTGTCCCCTTAGCAGAAAAACACCCCCAAAGCATAATGTTTCCACCTCCATGTTTGACGGTGGGGATGGTGTTCTTGGGGTCATAGGCAGCATTCCTCCTCCTCCAAACACGGCAAGTTGAGTTGATGCCAAAGAGCTCAATTTTGGTCTCATCTGACCACAACACTTTCACCCAGTTCTCCTCTGAATCATTCAGATGTTCATTGGCAAACTTCAGACGGGGCTGTATATGTGCTTTCTTGAGCAGGGGGACCTTGCGGGCGCTGCAGGATTTCAGTCCTTCACGGCGTAGTATGTTACCAATTGTTTTCTTGGTGACTATGGTGACCCAGCTGCCTTGAGATCATTGGCAAGATCCTCCCGTGTAGTTCTGGGCTAATTCCTCACTGTTCTCATGATCATTGCAACTCCACGAGGTGAGATCTTGCATGGAGCCCCAGGCCGAGGGAGATTGACAGTTATTTTGTGTTTCTTCCATTTGCGAATAATCGCACCAACTGTTGTCACCTTCTCACCAAGCTGCTTGGCGATGGTCTTGTAGCCCATTCCAGCCTTGTGTAGGTCTACAATCTTGTACCTGACATCCTTGAAGAGCTCTTTGGTCTTGGCCATGGTGGAGAGTTTGGAATCTGATTGATTGATTGCTTCTGTGGACAGGTGTCTTTTATACAGGTAACAAACTGAGATTAGGAGCACTCCCTTTAAGTGTGCTCCTAATCTCAGCTCGTTACCTATATAAAAGACACCTGGGAGCCAGAAATCTTTCTGATTGAGAGGGGGTCAAATACTTATTTCCCTCATTAAAATGCAAATAAATGTATAACATTTTGTACATGCGTTTTTCTGGATTTTTTTGTTGTTATTCTGTCTCTCACTGTTCAAATAAACCTACCATTAAAATTATAGACTGATCATTTCTTTGTCAGTGGGCAAACGTACAACATCAGCAGGGGATTAAATACTTTTTTCCCTCACTGTACATAGCCTGTGTTATATAAATGTATATTCCTTTCTTGTTGTATTAACTTTTTAAATTCCTCACTAATCTGAGATGAATGTAGAGATTGATTTAGAAAGAAAACATTGGAGTTTCTCAATATTGGAGATGAATAGACTGACCTTTAAGATGATTGACAGTGACTTTTTTTGATTATTTTATAAACTTTCTCAGATTTGACCTGAAAGACAATAATAGCCCGACAGCCACATTGTAAAGTAGAAGCAAAGCTTGAGAGCAATTGAGTGGCAGTAGCCACAACATCTTAATATCATTTGTAATATCGCAGAGAAGTGTTTCAACCAATAGGCCTACCTTTAATACTTTAGTCTCTATCCCAATGGATTTAAAGGCCCAATGCAGGCATTTTTATTTAAATATGAAATCATTTATGCGTAACAATTTAGTACCTTACTCTAATAGTTTTCCATTAAATTTGTCAAAAAATAAACAAAAATAGCTTTTTAGCAAAAAAATATTTCTCAAGCAATAATTTTCTAGGACTGTCTGGGACTGGTCTGAGTGGGGATGGGAAAACTGAAAACTAGCTGTTATTGGCAGAGAGGTTTGGAACTCTCTTTGTTATTGGTCTATTCAAATGTATTCCACCTGGTGAAGGGAACCAGGCAAGCAAAAACTCCCCCATTGCAAAACCTGCTGATCAACCAGCAACTATCAGGAAATAACTTTTTTCACACTTTTACAGTATTAGTTTCAGCAGATGTACAATATGATACAAAATGAAGGGGGAAAAGTTTTGACTGCACTGGGCCTTTAAAACTCTGTTACTAGCCTGTGTGGTACACTATCTCTCAAGACGTGCTCACTGAGATTCTCGTGTTTCTCTCCTTCTGGAGCTTGGGCTCCGGGCTGAAGTGTGCTTGCCAGAGGAACAACGTGTAGGAAGTGGTTTTAGTCAGACAAGGAAGGGGTAACGACCAATCTGTCAGTGATAATAACGTGACAGCTGGCTACATGCATACTCCTACCTATACAATTGGTTTACGTCAGTATCATCACCCTGCATTATGGCAGACAAGGACTCAGGACATGCCCAATTTCTCTAAGTTGATTACGGACATTGTGTTCCTCACTATGTTCAGATAAGATTACTCCCACCGGGCCTTGAACATAGATAGATACATTTTACGGTAGGATGTAACCCAATTGAGGCTGTAATATGTTTAGCGGCTCCAGAAATAGGTTGTTGTACATACTTTCTCCCCATCTATCAATTTCATGACAGCTAAACAGGATACCGATTGGTTCATTTGGGATGATAGCACCTTATAAGTATTATACGTATTCTTCCAAACCGATCCTACTGTTAGTATAGATAGAAAGTTGGTGGCCTATAGAGGGTTGGGAGAAGTACACATGATATAGTCATTAGTATTCCTGCTTTTCTTGTATATATTTAGTTCGTACAGATTTTATGGGATATTTCAAAATAGACTTGGATGTTTGTTTAGCTGCGGAGACCAGTTCAAAAGAGGAGCTTCGATATTACATTGTGTTTATTTTGCTGTGCAGATGGAAATGTTGAGATAGGGTTGGGTATGACTTTGTACCATTAGATTAAACGTGACCTTTCGGTTTTAAATATACTGCATATCCATTTAGAAGTACAATATGCTGGAACTTTACTCTTCAACCATAAGAGATTTGAAAAACAATTATTGGACTTATGGAGTGACTGAAGCACTTTCTGCCCATGATTCACCAATACCTCCAAGAGCAAGGATTGCAGTGATCTCTAGTCTAAATGAGTTAACCTTACTTTTAGGCTATATCAAAAGCATTTAAATGCTTTCGAGTATGACTTGCTGTTAAGTATTTCATATACAGGAAATGTCTCTATCCACAGTAAATGTTTACAGGAAGTGTTTCTATCCACCCACTAAATCTCTCTGTATGTTTTTCTTTGTAGTGAGTGTGAGGGCGTTGGATGTCACAGTGACCCAGAGCAGCATCCAGGTAGCCCGTGGCCAGGCGGCCATCTTGCCCTGCTCCTTCTCCACCAGCGCTGCTCTCAACAACCTCAACATTATCTGGATGGTCATCCCGCTGTCCAATGCCAACCAGCCCGAACAGGTAACCCTCCTCTAAACATGTGTATGTGATCTGGGTTGTCTGTGTGCCTCAAAACCGTGCTATCAAATCAAATTGTATTTGTCACATGCGCCGAATACAACAGGTTCACTACCTTACAGTGAAATGCTTACTTACAAGCCCTTAACCAACAATGCAGTTTTAAGAAAGAATACCAAAAAAAAACAAAAAAAAAAAAACAATTTAAAATATTACGAAATAAAAGTAACAAATAATGAATGAGCAGCAGTAAAAATAACAATAGCGAGGCTATATACAGGGGATACCGGTACCGAGTCAATGTGCGGGGGCACCGGTTAGTCGAGGTAATTGAGGTAATATGTACATGTAGGTAGAGTTATTAAAGTGACTATGCATAGATAATAAACAGAGAGTAGTAGCAGTGTAAAAGCAATGCAAATAGTCTGGGTAGCCATTTGATTAGATGTTCAGGAGTCTTATGGCTTGGGGGTAGAAGCTGTTTAGAAGCCTCTTGGACCTAGACTGCATGTGTGTGCAAATTTGGACAAGTTTGGATATTTTTCAGTTGCATGCACCTCTATGTACAGTATGTATGTATGAGCTAAAGGCATTAGCTGTAGAAAGCTAACACAAGTCTTCAGGACTCAGGCAAGGTTACCGTCCCATACACCACCATCACATCCCTCTCCACAGTTCCATACACCTACGCTTCCCTCCCTAACCAACAAAATCTCTCAACACAACTATTATTGACGCGCCAGACTGTTCACCTCAATGACGATTTGTGAATATACTGTACTGTATTCCCATGTGACCCACATGAGTCGCACTCTGACAATATCCACACCGCACGCATCTGTGCCAGGCCCCCTGGGTATTGTAGTGTTTGGAGAGTGGCGTGACATACAGCACCAAACTAGTCCCTGTGAACAGACTTTATCTGTAGCCGAGCCAGAACCGGATGTAATCGGCTGCTCCTGCATGCCCAAAGAAGGTCGCTGTTGTGTTGTATGGCCATCAAACAAAGCACGCAGGTTTCTCCTGGTCTGCAGCTGCAGGCGCCACAACCTCACCTGCCTCCAACACGTTTAACCTCATCCACGTAACGTAATAATCTTCTGCACTAATTAACCTGGAGCAGCTGTTCTCACCACACACACAGGCACACATGCACACACACACACTCAGATAAACACACGCATGCGTGGGAGCACGCACTCACACACAATCAGGCAGATAAGCACACACATGCGTGGACACACCACACACACACACACATGCACACACAATGAGAAGTAATAACAGGGGTGTAAATTTGGTTTTAGAAGTGGGGGGGACATAATTATAAATCTGTTTTTATCCAGTCAGATAAACACTCCAAACAGCCTACCTGACCGCTCGGAGGCGTCCGCTTGGTCCTAAAGCACAACGTTGTCTCGTTTTGTATCACATTCCAATGATAAAACTGGATGGGACAAAAATGCAATTTCAGAATGTGGGGGGGGGGGGAAAAACATGTCCCCCCTGTCCCCAGTGAAAGTTGCGCCCCTGAGTAATAAACACACTTACATGACACAAATGCACACACAGTAAACACAATCAGAAAAACATACATACTGTACATAGAGAGGCATGCAACTGAAAAATATCCAAACTTATCCAAATGTGCACACAAGTGCACACACACGCACCATGCTCACACACCACACCTACACACAAGGTTGCACTGCACATGTATGTACCCACACACACACAGAGGCTGTTTTGACACAGTCAAACGCACAGATGGAGAGAATATTGCTAACGTAGAGCCATTGGCTGTCTTAACCTCCTTCACGCCTGTCTGAGCACCCTTTTGGTGTAAACGGCGAGGCTCGGGACACATTGTGTCTGGATGATTCTAGCAGGAAGGAATGATTCCACCACATTCATTTGGTGACGTAGTCTCAGCGGAGAACAGATGTGCTGTGTGTGAGTTGTGCGCCACCTCAGGCTTTCAGGCACCGCCTCAACAGGAAGAAGACAGTCAGCTCTAGGCTAGCACGACAACACCTCATCAGAGCGACAGTATAGTACAGTACAGTACAGTATAGTATAGGATAGTATAGAAGTCACCTATACTCATCAACTTGGGTAAAGTAGTTTGAGTGCAGCACAAGTATGTAAAATTGTCCACACGTTACAATAGATATGTTTTGCACCAGAGTCACTACCAGTAGAATAACCAGTTGTAATTACCCTGTAACAAGCTAGTAAATACATACAGTTATGACCTAATGTACTTACCACTTAACTCTAACTTAAGCTTGAACTTTTTTTGTATTTTCTTGCGAAACAGAATTAACATTGGTAAGAACTGAGACATTGTCTGTAGTTGACATGCTTATTAAAGGTATATACAGAAGTTATTCCCTAAGAGGTATATTGGAATAATACCAGTAATATAAAGTATTGCCGTACCATAACAACATTTCGTACAGGTGCATGTTCAGTGAATGCTTCAAATAGAGAAACTTTGAAATTGTTTTTATTTCTATCACAAGCGTGCTAGTACTGCTTCTTCATGTTGTCTGGTGGGCTGTCTGAAAGGTTCACTGTGGTTTGAGTGTACACCACTGCCAGTGTTGTGACAGCACAAGGCCCACTCTGTAGGAAATGGCTGTCATGAATGATTATGATTCGAGCCATACACCATGCATAATTTCTGAAATGATCTCATAAATGTACGTTTATGACGCATACATTATTTTTGTAGACAACAGACAATAATTAAAAGCGTACAGACATTTAAAGTCCTACGTTTTGTCGCGTGTGAAGTTTGATCACAGTATTCCATTTTATGATTTTATATGATATAAAAATTATATGGTTTATTTTAATTTATATGATTAGTCTTTCTAAGAACCACGGAAGTGTTAACACTGGAAATGACAGGCCTCGAGGGACCCCACTTTGAACAAATGACGAGTCTTTTGGACGTCAATATTCTAATGTTGGGACCGGTATCCAACTATGGAATAAAAAGGCAGCGTTTACAATGCACACTAATTCTTCATCACTTACCACACATAGGCCTATGCATACTTGTTTGTTTATTAGGGCAGACTCTCTCTGACTGCTTTGTGTATTTGGTATCTTTTAAACCATCCCTGAGGTTAGGAATAAGATATAAATAAGTTGTTGATTGAGTTTAGTTCACCCAGCTTTAGATTAAACGTGAGAACATCAGTCGTGCTCCTCAAAGACTCAACTCATAAACCATCAACCTTTTAGGCTGACTGACGATCAGATCCCTTTGCTCACTTCGCAAAGAGAGCTCTTCTAATTCTTCAGTTTGTTTACTCTAATCTTCCATGTTTAGCCTCAGATTAAAGGGGCAATCTGCAGTAGCTACATCCATTTTTGGACTGATGTGTCCATTGATTCTTGAAGAATATCACATATAAATCCCTCATGAGCTTAGTTCAACTGTCGTACCCCATCAGAACCCAAAATATAAGCTTGTTTTACTCCAATGTTTGTAAACAAAGTAAATATAAACAAAATATGGTTTAAACTATACATTTGGATGGTCAAATACTTCCATCCATAGCTCTGTCTATGAATTTCAGAGTGGTTACATGTCTCCAGCCCCATCCCTCAGCTTTTAGCGAAACAGTGGTGGGGATAACGCTTTGTTATTGTTTCAACTGCTGATTGCCGCTTTATGGCCAATTGCATGCAGACGGTGGGGCCAGGTGTGTAGAGCCTTGGAAATGAATCTGTCCGTTCTCCTTTACTCCCTAATAACACACTGCGGTATCCTGATGCTAGGTGTTATAGGAAGTGATCCAGACCAGGTTCATACACATTTACATTTTAGTCATTTAGCAGACGCTCTTATCCAGAGCGACTTACAGTTAGTGAATACATATTATTATTTTTTTTTTCATACTGGTCCCCCGTGGGAATCGAACCCACAACCCTGGCGTTGCAAACGCCATGCTTTATCAACTGAACTACATCCCTGCCGGCCATTCCCTCCCCTACCCTGGACAACGCTAGGCCAATTGTGCGCTGCCCATGAGTCTCCCGGTCGCGGCCGGCTGCGACAGAGCCTGGATTCGAACCAGGATCTCTAGTGGCACAGCTAGCACTGCGATGCAGTGCCTTAGACCACTGCGCCACTCAGGAGACTATACACCAGGGTCATATTTACTAGGCACGAATCGGAAGAAAACGGGCCGAAACTATCTGAACTTGCCCAATAAGAAATGCTTGTTTTTAACTTTTTGCAACGTTTTGCTATACGTTGTGCCCTAATGAATACAACCCATGTCATGGCTGATGAGAATGTTGGGAGGGGGGTTGTTCAGTGGTTTACAGGCAGGGAGAGGGGATGGCATGGCAGAGGGATATGGCAGTGGACATGGTCTTTGGGGCCAGGCCAGTTCTTACTAGGGATCACCGCCATCTGCACTCTTTTCCCGCCTACGCGTTAGATCGCCATATAAGTTAACACGAGAGCGAGAGGTGATCTCACGCACACAGATACTCAGTGGCTGCTGCGGTCGCGGGTGCGTTTGGGTCTCATCACAGCTGAAGGGCTGCCTATTCATCTGCACATAAGAGGACAAAGCGTACAGCACTCAGGAAACTGCGGCGCCGCAATTTACATGCAGTTAAGCAGCAGTGCAGAGGGAGAGATGGAGGGAGGAAGGGAGAGGGGAGAAGATCACGCAGCCCTACTGAGATGGTTCTGTGGCTCCCTGGGTGCTTTGAACAGAACAGTTCAATGGGGGTTCTTTCAAACAACGCTGAATAGCCTCCCTGATTCCCCAGGATGCTTTTGTGTGCCTGGCTGAAGGGTTAGGTGTTTTTTATTTAGAAGGTGCACGCAAATGGCTGCTTCTAGCAGAGTTCAAAGCAACAAAAAGCTTTTGAACACCTTCCGACTCTCAAACATGCAGCTCGGAAGAGCTCAAATCAACAGGAGGTTTTATTTCAATAGTACTTATATATTTGTTGATGTTTTTCCACTTTGGCATCCCTTTTCTGAAGAGAAATTGCATTGCTGATAAATTGATCATGTCAATGGCGTTAGGCTTCTTCATATTATTACCATAGTTACCATAGTTTGGTGTTTTAGTTCCTTGTTGTGTATGATTGTAACAGTATGTTGACCATTTGAGCTGTGCTCCTCTTTCTGTTCCCCATTTTTAAGCTTGGAAGCTGCTCTTGAATTCATGCTTGTTGTAATGTAAAATACTTGTATAGTTCAGGACATTTTGAAATGATCATATTCTGTGTATTATCATCCTTTCAGTTGTCAAGTGATGCTTCAGTTTATACTGCAACACTAGGTCGCCATCTTGTGAAAATCTGTTGCACCTGCACTCTTCAGTGTCCAGAATCCTCATGCACTCACTTGCCTGGCTGTTGATTCTCTGTTGTTTGGTTTTATTTAACTGTGGAATGAAGTATTGCAATTTAAATAACTTAATTCAACATTACTTGTTGAATGATCTATAGTGTGTACCAGGGAAAGGCGATTACCGGTACATTTAACCTCAGTGGTTGTTTTTCCATTCAGATTCATACCCTATAATTCCTCAAGATCCATCAATTCAGAGCATTATGTTTGTATCTCAATATAAACCTCTGCATCAATTGATATCTAGGTAACCCAGGATGGATACAGTTGGCCACAGTTTCATAAACTCACACCTGGATGTACAGTGGACAGAAACTCTCTGATGTTCCATAGAAATAGAAGTGGTCATTCGCACATCCTAGAAAAATAACAGAAAGGCCGACACAGTGTATGTTCCTAATGACCACCTAATGACCAACATTTCGATCCATAGGATCTTCGTTAGGTCAAACTAATGACATTCCATAGAAACGGTGTGAGTGAATCTCTGTCTTTCTCATGTCAGGTGATCATCTACCAAGGTGGCCAAGTGTTCAGTCTAGCCAACCACTTAAATGGCCGGGTGGGTTTCGTGGCCACCATGCCCAGCACAAGTGCTTCTATCTTCATCAACAACACCCAGCTGTCAGACACGGGGACCTACCAGTGCCTGGTCAACAACCTCCCCGACAGAGGGGGGCGCAACATCGGGGTCATCGGCCTCACCGTCCTGGGTAAAACACACACTGCTGCATTAGAATTACAATGAAGGAGTTGCATACCATGCACATATAGCCTGCCCACTCTAACTTGACTACAGACCAGGCTACTGTGCATAGCCTACTGTGATAAAAATGGATGCATTAAAACTGGGAAGTGTAAACACATTGCTTAATGTAAGAATTATATTGTATGACATTGGCTTTTATTTTGACAAAATGAGTGTCCGAAGCTGGTTTTAAAGATTACTCTTATAGCATGTTGGGACACCACAGTTCTGTATGTGTATAAAAACAAGACCTCCTTTGGATAAGAGCATCTGTTAAATTACTCAAATGTAACGTAAAATGTGAGACCAAATGCCCCTTCAGGAGGCTAGGATCTGTCTGTACTGATCGATAAGGTACTAACTATACCCCTCTCTCTCCCTCTTGTCTCTCCAGTGCCCCCCTCAGTGCCCGCATGCCGTATCCAGGGCACGCTGGATGTGGGCGCTGACATCATGCTGATGTGCAGCAGCGAGGAGGGGATCCCCACACCCAGCTACGTCTGGGAGAAGCTGGAGTCGCTGCCCAGGCTGCCCCACACCGCCATGCAAGGTATTAAACCCCTGGCCGTGGGCGTGCCCTTTTGCCCCACCTTCGCTGGTAAATCAACTAGTATCTTTGGTAACGTCACCGTGGCTCCACCTGCCCGCCCCCAACTCTGCCCCTCAGGGTGCCACCACCCACCCTGGTCCAGTTCAGGGCCTGCATTCACAAAGCATCTCAGAGTAGGAGTGCTGATCCAGGATCAGCTGGTCAACAGTTCCTGTCATTTTATTCATTATGATCCTAGATCAGCACTCCAACGCTGAGACATTTTTTTTGGAATACAGACCCAGTTTTGTGTGTGTGTGTGAGCCGTGCAGTGGCCTCTCCTCGCTCTCTCCAGATGTGTCATCACATCACAGTGTGATTCTCACCGTACTACACTACTGCTCACTTCAACACAAGGCTACACTCCACAATAACCAATCGGCTTAGGTTTCCTTCGTTACTCATCCTCCTGCCTGTCTGTGTTGTTTTACACAGTAGATATCAACTGTACCAACACTGCCACCATGATATCTGTCTGCAAAACAGCTCATGTTGCAGAGAAGAGGGTAGTGGTGAAATCTAGGCCAGTAATCTGGATTTAGTGCTTATGTGGTTTGTTCCAAGCTCCCATGGTAGCCTTTTCTTAAAGACAGTAGTGTTATATAACATATTACTCCATAAAGAATCAGACGTATGAACAATGGCACTGTAACTGGGTTTATATCAGCAAGGTGTTGTATAACGGACAAAATATACACCAGCCGTTTTACGGTAAGTGATTTGGTGCCCTCTATTGGGTTTTTGCCAGTAGTCCCAGTTACTGTACCATATCCTAAAGCAATTTGAATAATGCTGTTATTTGAAGTAACATATCTGCATAATACTAGTAAGTAAGCTGTGCTCAACAATTATTTCAACTGCCTAAATGATTAGAAATTATTTTGGTTATTTCAATTATGTAAGTAATGTATGAATGTTTTTGAACACGTTACAAACAAATGGTTACATTAATTATTAGTCCAAAAGGAATTACATGCATATTTAATCCCAATGTATTTTAATGACATGTTTTTGTGTCTTGTCTATTTGTTCTGGGATTGTTGATGGTGTTCCCCAGTGATGTTTTAACCCCAGACTGGCATGGTTTGTGTTTAAACCCCAGACCAGATGCAAGGGACCGTAACATTGAGGAACATCAGTACCAGTACATCTGGTCTGTACCAGTGTACAGCCTCCAACGCCATTGGCAAGAGCACCTGTCTACTCAACCTGCAGGTTGTGGCACGTAAGTACCCAACATCATGATGACTTAAGCACGGCTTTGTGCAGTACCACTCGAAAAAATAACATTCAAATACAACACTCATGGAACTTATCAATGTTAAATCCTTGGACTTCACCTTAAAAATACACATTTTATTGTTTAAAATGATTTCACTCTGGAAATACTCCTCCAGGAATGTTATTTTTTTTTGGGGGGGGGGGGTAAATCAGCTTTAATATTGCAGATAGACTGTGGCTTCTATCAATGTAATTGTCTACAGCATTTCCAATACCCCATATATATATTCAGACCCCTTGACCTTTTCCACATTTTGTTACGTTACAGCCTTATTCTAAAATGTATTAAATCGTTTTTTTCCCTCATCAATCTACACAATTATGTAATGACAAAGCAAAAACAGGTTTTTAGAAATGTTTGTTAATTTATAATGTAAAAAAAGAACTGAAATATCACAGTTACATAAGTATTCAGACCCTTTACTCAGTACTTTGTTGAAGCACCTTTGGCAGCGATTACAGCATTGGGTCTTCTTGGGTATGATGCTACAAGCTTGGCACACCTGTATTTGGGGAGTTTCTCCCATTCTTCTCTGCAGCTCGTCTTAAGCTCTGTCAGGTTGGATGGGGAGCGTTGCTGCACAGCTATTTTCAGGTCTCTCCAGAGATGTTTGATCGGGTTCAAGTCTGGGCTCTGGCTGGGCCACTGAAGGACATTCAGAGACTTGTCCCGAAGCCACTCCTGCGTTGTCTTGGCTATGTGCTTAGGGTCGTTGTCCTGTTGAAAGGTGAACCTTCGCCCCAGTCTGAGGTCCTGAGCGCTCTGGAGGAGGTTTTCATCAAGGATCTCTCTGTACTTTGCCCATTCATCTTTGCCTCGATCCTGACTAGTCTCCCAGTCCCTGCCGCTGAAAAACATCCTCACAGCATGATGCTGCCACCACCATGCTTCACCGTAGGGATAGTGCCAGGTTTCCTACATATGTGACGCTTGGCATTTAGGCCAAAGAGTTCAATCTTGGTATCATCAGACCAGAGAATCTTGTTTCTCATGGTCTGAGTGTCTTTAGGTGCCTTTTGGCAAACTCCAAGCGGGCTGTCATGTGCCTTTTACTGAGGAGTGGCTTCCGTCTGGCCACTACCATAAAGGCCTGATTGGTGGAGTGCTGCAGAGATGGTTGTCCTAATGGAAGGTTCTCTCATCTCCACATAGGAACTCTAGAGCTCTGTCAGAGTGACCATCAGGTTCTTGGTCACCTCCCTGAACAAGGCCCTTCTCCCCCGATTGCTCTGTTTGGCCGGGTGGCCAGCTCTAGGAAGAGTCTTGGTGGTTCCAAACTTCTTCCATTTAAGAATGATGGAGACCACTGTGTTCTTGGGGACCTTCAATGCTGCAGACATTCTTTGGTACCCTTCCCCAGATCTGTGCCTCGACAGAATCCTGTCTCGGAGCTCTACGGACAATTCCTTCGACCTCATGGCTTGGTTTTTGCTCTGACATGCACTTTCAACTGTGGGACCTTATATAGACAGGTGTGTGCCTTTCCAAACCATGTCCAATCAATTGAATTTACCACAGGTGGACTCCAATCAAGTTGTAGAAACATCTCAAGGATGATCAATGGAAACCGGATGCACCTGAGCTCAATTTCGAGTCATAGTAAAGGGGCTGAATACTTATGTAAATAAGACTTGTTTTCGCTTTGTCATTATGGGGTATTGTGTGTAGATTGCTGAGGATAATTTTTTTAAAAATCCATTTTAAAATAAGGCTGTAACGTAATAATATGTGGAAAATGTCAAGGGGTCTGAATACTTTCCGTAGGCACTACATTGTTTTAAATATATATATTTTTAAATATATTTTCCTTCTTTATTATTTTCCCCTAACCGTACCACTCCTCCCCTAATTGGAGTAAACTAATGGACAACAATAATTTGGCTTCCACTTCCAGCTTAAACATACTACATACATTTCACGGACAGTATATTTTACATTTAGTTATCTTTTGTCTGTTTTTAGTCCAAACTTTCAGCTACTCTAGGAAAACTTTGTTCCTATGCTCCCCCTCTCCCAATTCCACCCCTGCCAGTGGGTAGTAACAATGTAACCTGAGTTAGTATGCTGCTACTGCACTCGCCTGACCCTGCCTTAGAGTAGACAGTCGCTGACACCAGTGACAACTTTAGTGAGTGGCTCGTTTGGGGTTTGTGATTGTCAAGGAGTAAATGGCATGTCACCGGTTGTCACCGGCAGGGCGGCTGTGGCTCTGGTGAGTGCTCTGACAGAGGCTCGGGGGCTCTGTCAGGGAGGTACCCACTGTTTGATCAGGAGAGTGATCCTATAAACCTTTATCGCCACTCAGCCATCTGTTCAGCTGTAAACAATGACAGCATCATTTTCCCAGTGTGTGTTGCAGCATGTATGATTAAACACCTGCCACTGTACTACTCTCTGAGCTATAGGACAACAGACTGACCTAAACGTCCCTCATAGTGGAAATGGCTAGAATTAATACACATTTTTGTGGTTTTTAAAACTCACAACAAATCGTTTTCTGATAAAAGCACAATGTTACAGGTATTATAGGTATTATGGTACAGATATTATGCAAAAATTCAAACGTCATAATAGACATACAGTACCAGTCAACAGTTTGGACACACCTACTCATTCAAGAGTTTTTCCAATGCCAAGAGTGTGCAAAGCTGTCATCAAGGCAAAGGGTGGCTACTTTTTTGGTTACTACATGATTCAATATGTGTTATTTCATAGTTTTGATGTCTTTATTTTCACTATTATTCTACAATGTAGAAAATAGTAAAAATAAAGAAAAACCCTGGAATGAGTAGATGTGTCCAAACTTTTGACTGGTACATCCAAATTAAATCACACTTCAGTCCACTTAAATCTTTCCCACAATTCACTATTAAGTGAGGGGGGGGGGGGGGGGGGGGGGTGAGTGAGGACATCATTACAGGTCCTGGAGAACCACTGGGCATGTTGTTGGCATTCAACCAAAGCTCCTCAATGTTTTATTAATGTCTTAATGCAGGCCTTATTAGAGTGGCTTCATGCCACAGATGAATAGGTGTTTGTGCTGAGGTTCAGGAGCTAGCAGTTTTGAAAGTAGTTCTCGTAGCGGCATAACTGGTCGTGTGTGATCTGGGTCCTGTTCATTAGGGCACACCGAGCAAAACGTTTTGCATTGGAAAACAAGTGTTTCATATTGGAGAAGTACACACAAAAAAATGTATGCACGCATGACTGTAAGTCGCTTTGGATAAAAGCGTCTGCTAAATGGCATATTATTATTATTATAAGTTCAGGTAGTTCATTTTCTTCTGTTTTGTACTTAATGAAAATACCCCAGGACTTAGTCTCCCTCTCTCTCCCCTGGTCCTTCAGCCCAGCTCCAGAGTGTGGGTCTCATAGTTGGCACCATCGCCACGGGCGTCTTGGCTGTCATCATCTGCTCCCTACTGGTGTTGGTGACACTCTTCTACTGGAAGAACAAGAACAAATACGAGGAGGAGGAGATACCGAACGAGATCAGGTGGGTCTTCCATTGACTTCCTGCTTTCTTCCATTTCTTCCATAGCAACACACTAGTCTAAACATTAGACTCTGAACTCACCATAACTGTTCTGGTGCCGTGCATTTGATAGGCTACATAGAGTATGTAGTAGATATGTGTTGAAAACGGAGATATACTGTATCCTTGAAATTGGACGATTACCCTTTTGAAGTTAGTTTTATCCATTTGTTCAGGTGTTCAGACTTTTCTTCATCACTATGTGAATTCTCTGTCGCTTGTATAAATGGCCTGCTATTCTTCCCCTAAATGACTTCATAAATCAATTTGTAGATAAATCATTGTTGAAATGTTTCAGCTCTGAGCTAGTGGGATAACTGCTGCCTCATTTGGGTGATGATAATGTCCCTGAATTTAAATGTTGTCTCAGTGTGGTGCCTCTGCACTTATACCACTGACATTTGACATTTTCTCTAACAAAATTGATCAGGACCAAGCTGTGGAAGTGAATGTCACTCCTCATAGAGTGATACACATTTTAAGAATGGACCTCCTAAACCGTTCTTTTGTCATTCCAGTTTTTAACCACTTGTCATTTAGGCCTTCCCAATCACTACAAGCACTATTCAGACTAGTAAGATACCAATATTGTATTTATAATGAACATTAGTTGTGGTTGTTGATCATCAAACACAACAGGCCACTGTGGCTCATCTGAAGCCAGAAATAAATATTATCTCTCTGGCTAATGTAGGTTTGCCAAAAGGTGCCCCGTAGCTGTTTAACTATTCATTTCTAAGTCGTACATAAGATAAGTCATGCATATTGCATGCTCATTTAATAGACGGTCTCACTTAAATCCCTTTTTTATATCAGCGACATCTCCATCGCTATCAGGTCCACTAAGTTTCATCTGCAAAAAGAGAGTGTTCAAAATAGTGTTATATCTAATTAGTGGAGATCAAACACAAAATCTTCTTGAAAACGTTTTTCCATTAAACATTCACAGTAAGGAACACTGACTACTCAGACTGGTGTTACAAATAGATGTGCCTATTTAAACGTTTATAACCTTTAAAAAACTGTTTGAAAGAAACATTGTTTTTTTTAAACAATCCCACTATTTGCAAATATAAGTCCATTTCCGACTAGCGTTTTCATTAACAGCTCAGTCAAACATGAAGAAGAAGAAGAAGAAGACCCAGTGGAACTTAAGCTGCAAATTACATCATAGGGCATTGACTAAACAGTCAGAATTGTAAGAGAAACCTAATTGAGTATTAAGATGATATTTGGATGTTGCAACACACTTGTTAACGTAAAGCACCAAATACGTATGTCACATATGATGCTGATGGAAATACGTTAAAGAGTGACATATTACTTAAGAGATTGGGTTGGATATAAAAAACTGTTAACAGTGAATTTTAACCTCCTGTCATTTCTGTAGTCCCTATAGTGACCTCCCCGTGCCCTTTGTGCTTTACAGGGAGGACGACCTGCCCCCTAAGAGGTCGTCGTCAGTAAAAGCATTTCACGCCGACGCCTCATCCTCTGAGAACGACACCCTAACGTCCACCAACACCTACAACAGTCGCTATTGGCACAACCCCAAGCCCAACTACGACACCAACTCCTACACCCGCTACAACGGCGACACGCGCCAGACGTTCTCTACGGGGCAGGCGGGTCACACAGGTCAAACGGGGGGACATGCAGCTCACACAGGACACGGGACGCTGGTGCCGCAGGGCTCCGCCCGCCAGGCCTACTCCAATGGTAGCCACACCCTCCCCCCGCCCAAGACTCTGGTGGTCACCACCAACTCTGCCCCCTCCCCTCCCACGATGGTGCGCAGCAATGGCTCGGTGAGCCTGAAGCCCGTGACGGTGGCATCGCACGGTGGGTACACGCACTCGTACGCCGTAAGCCAGGCCACGCTGGAGCGCATGGGCGCCGTACCCGTCATGGTGCCAGCCCAGAGCAGAGCAGGCTCTCTGGTCTAAAGTAAACTGTTACTGGGCTGAACCAGCCTGCCTCCCCACTTCTTCTCTGCTTCTCTCTCTCTTTTTCTCAATTTATAACTCATAAACAGGATTTTACAATACCGACTTCATCTAATGCCAACGTCTCCAAGTACAGGAACCTGTTTGAAAGCAGCACCAGGTGTTCTATTCCTATTGGTTGGTTTTGTATCTCTTCTTCTCACTGGTTCCTTGGATTGAATGGCTGTAACCAGTGGGATTATCGCACAAAAGTCACACATAATCTTCTGACGTTTCAGGTGATTGTGACTGTGGGTTTTGGACTCATCACGACAGCGAGCATTAACCGTTTAATCTCTGTTTTAACCACATCTAGACACTCCAAACCGTGCAAGTCCCATGGAGAAGCATCCGATCGTGCATGTATATTCCATTGAAAACTAACAACCAGATTCTTGCTATTATTTCATATCACTCAGCTATTGCGGTGATAATAATTGTTTTGTATCTTAAAAAATTACAGAGATGTTCTTTGATTCACTGCAGTGGTCTTACATGAACAGAAGCATAGCGGCGGAAATGGCCTTAGAAGAGCAGAGAGTTACGGAAGGGATTTCTAGTGAAGTAACAAATGGCAGAGACAACAGAATGGCACAACACAGTAGGCTGGTCCCGTGACTGGACAGGGGTTTTCTGATTCTGTCTATTAGCTCCAACTTCAACATGTTCATTTGTTTTTGCACGGTAACACACTTTCATCACCAACTCCTCTGAAGAAATGTCTTATAGAACGGTCTTACTGAATGCATCCCCTTACCTCGACAGTGTTACAAATGGGAGCGATGTAGCCTCTCCAGCACAAACTTGTAAGGGTTCAGCATTTACATTGATTAGGTCCAGTATTGATAACTATGGTCTTACCTCAAGATTCCATTATGTTAAAAAACCTTTCCCTGAAACTTGAATCTGCAGTTTGAGACATACTGACAGTGTTTATGGAAGTACGTGCTATTGTAAATATGCTGCTGATTTGTTCTAACAAAATCCAATCTCACATCAGTGCTGCTTTGACAAGAAAACATAGGGGGCATCTTATTTCATACATCCTTTCTAAGAAAAATTATATTTAAAGGGGATTTCCCTTGAGAATGCTAACAATTACTGTTTTGTAACTACTGGTAGGCTAGGTTGTGAATTGAAGAAAAATACTTATTTCCAATGGATGCATATTTTACAACTCGTGTGTCTTAATTTAAGAGGTCTATTCATTTCTGTTAACAGACACTAAACTGGGTTTTGTAGACTGTTGTAGACTGTTGTCTTGCGTTCGTAAAGAAGGGATGTCTGTTTTTTACAACTAGGTGTCCTCTGTGGGTGCAGCTGCAAGTTTGGGCAGTGCAATACAAAATGGCAAAGTATCACAGAAACCCGTATACTAAAATGACTGTCTGCATCTCTTGATGGTAATAATGATTTAGCCCTAGGGTAAATAAATGTATACTCTTACCAATTGTTTTCCAGGGCACTTGGAATTTTTCACAGCTCCAAAATTCAAGCATTAAAATAAGTTACTTAAATATCCCCAATGATAGTTGAAAATGAAATGAATACCACCTGTAATGAAATATCTAGGTTTTTCCAGCAGTGTTGTAAAGTGTTGCTACTAAGGTAAGAATCAGAACGGTTTGGGGGCCATATTTTTTAGACCGTTTTTAGACCTGAAACTAACTGCTGATTTAAGTTTTATATGAATTGTACAATATTATCTATCCTGCTCTTTGCATTGAAAGTCTTACTAATATTCAACTTAATATTTCATTTGAAAGACAAATTGTTTTGATATTGTGTGATATTACATTTTAAAAATTGTACTATTCATTTTAGGGTAAAAAAACACTTCACTCTTGAGAAAAAGCATCTCCTGTATTTGGTATCAGGATCTTTCTCGTTCAGTCTCTACATATACTGTACCCAATGATAGCTGTGGTCTCTACAGTATGAATTCGGCCATTCAATGTGCTCAAAGTAAGTGTTATTGAAGTTCACTGAAATATGCTCCAGAAAGAATCCATTAGACGTATTCAATTAATCCTCCTCAACAAAAGCAATGGATGGTAAGCAGAACTTTTTGCCTGAAGCAATAAAGACCAACCAGGTGAACCACATTTGGAGGACTTGTTGATGTACAAGATAGACCTTTATCAAACTGTTCCTTTTCTGTTGCACACTCAGCTCATTGGCTGAGGTCCCTGCTCATTGGCTTATGTGTTATGTCTCATTCGATCCGTCAGGGAACCAAGATTATACTCATAACTTAATAATAAAAAATGCTTAATTTTCTCTCTGAAAGCTGCCATGACTAAAACACTGTTCAGTAAGATCAGGTAATACTCACAACTTTGGAGAATATTATTTGCGTATGTTTGGTGTTCAGAGACTTGTTTCAATGTCAGAGTGCATCCATATGATTTATGTATGTAGTACTCTTTTATGTACAGTGCCTTCAGAAAGTATGCATACCCCTTGACTTATTCCACATTTTGTTGTGTTACAGCCTGAATTTATTCAAAATGAAATACAGAAATGTCTCATTTACATATGTATTCACACCCCTGAGTCAATACATATTAGAATAACCTTTGGCAGTGATTACAGCTGTCAGTCTTTCTGGGTAAGTCTCCAGGAGCTTTGCACACGTGGATTGTACATTATTTGCCCATTATTCTTTTCAAAGTTCTTCAAGCTCTGTCAAGTTGGTTGTTGATCATTGCTAGACAGCCATTTTCAAGTATTGCCATAGATTTTCAAGCTGATTTAAATCAGAACTGTAACACGGCCACTCAGGAACATTCACTGTCTTCTTGGGAAGCAACTCCAGTGTAGATTTGGCCTTGTGTTTTAGGTTATTGTCCTGCTGAATGGTGAATTCATCTCCCAATGTCTGGTGGAAAGCAGACTGAACCAGGGTTTTCTCTAGGATTTTGCTTGTGCTTGGCTCCATTCCATAAAATTTTTTATTCTGAAAAACTCCCTAGTCCTTAATGATTACAAGCATTGGAGAATATGGAGAGTGGTACTTTGCCACATTGCAGTGTTACTTTAGTGCCTTGTTGTAAACAGGATGCATGTTTAGAATATTATTCTGTTCAGGCTTCCTTCTTTCTTCTGCCAATTAGGTTAGTATTGTGGAGTAACTACAATGTTGTTGATCCACCCTCAATTTTCTCCGATCACACTCTGTAACTGTTTTAAAGTCACCATTGAGTGGTTTCCTTCCTCTCCGACAACTGAGATAGGAAGGACACCTGTATATTTGTAGTGACTTGAGTGTATTGATACACCATCCAACGTTTAATTAATAACTTCACCATGCTCAAAGGGATATTTAATATCTGCTTTCTTTTTTACCCATCTACCAATAGGTGCCCTTCTTTGTGAGGCATTGGAAAACCTCCCTGGTCTTTGTGGTTGAATCTGTGTTTGAAATTCACTGCTCGACTGGGGGACCTGACAGATAATTGTATGTGTGGGGTACAGAGATGAGGTAGCCATTCAAAAAAAATCATGCTAAACACTATTATTGCACACAGAATGAGTCCATGCAACTTATTATTGGTATTGGAATTTTATTAGGATACCCATTAGCTGTTGCAAAAGCAGCAGCTACTCTTCCTGGGGTCCACACAAACATTAACATGACATAATACATAATATGTGACTTGTTGAGCACATTTTTACTCCTGAACTTATTTAGGCTTGGCATTACAAAGGGGTTGAATACTTATTGACTTAAGACATTTCAGCTTTTCAGTTTTAATTAATTTGTAAACATTTCTAAAAACATAATGGGTGTCTCAATTGAATCCATTTTAAATTCAGGCTGTAGCACAACAAAATGTGGAAAAAGTCAAGGGGTGTGAATCCTTTTGAGAAGGCACTGTGTATGTACTCTGGGGTTGTTCACTAGCTTGTTGTGTCTGGTCACAGACAGACACACCTGCTCTTTAACTCTGAAAACTATTATTAAAGAGCCATAGGTTCAAGTCAGATGAGGTGAGGGGGTATCTGTTTCCTCTGTTAGACATCTCTTGGAGCGAATCCTAACTTCCACTTACATTTTTACTTAGTCATGCATTGATGTCAATGGGAGACAAAGTGAAAATTCTACATAAAAGTTAGGATTTGTCCCTTAATGACCCGAAACACAACTGCTTGAACTAGAAATGGCGAGGAGGGATAACCACTAAACCCAGACAAGTGATGGTGCATTGTCTGCTGTGGCCATAAGTTCATCAGGTTGTGTGTATATAGATATTATATTATATTGCCAATAGTAAACATTGTAAATATGTAAAATATATATTATACTTAACAGTTGGATTGATATGAAATATGACATTAACACTGGAGGTTGTAGTGAATAAATATTGTTAATACATTCTAACTGTAGTTGACTTAGTCATTTTAAGACTTTTATTATTTTATGAATACAGCTGATCTTATTGGTAATATACACAGGGTATGCCAAACATTTGGAACATGAGTTGCACCCCCTTTTGCCCTCAGAACAGCCTCAATTTGTCGGGGCATTGACTCTATAAGGTGTCGAAAGCGTTCCACAGGGATGCTGGCCCATGTTGACTTCAATGCTTCCCACAGTTGTGTCAAGTTGGTTGGATGTCCATTGGGTGGTGGACCATTCTTGATACACACTGATTGAAGTGGATTTAACAAGTGACATCAATAAGGGAACATGGCTTTCACCTGGATTCACCTGGTCAGTCTATGTCATGGAGAGAGCAGGTGTTCCTGGTCTGATGGTGATGTGGATATACTCGGAATACATATCCCAAATGAAATAAATTATCTCACTCCAATACATTTTAATAGAAAGTTAGCCAAAATAAATAAGATCTTGCTACCATGGAAAGGTAAATACCTGTCAATTTGTGGAAAGATCACCCTTATTAACTCTTTAGTATTATCCCAGTTTACCTATTTGCTTATGGTCTTGCCTACGC